CAGTGTTGCATAGGTGCACTTTTTTCATTTTATTCCTGATTTAGTGATAATACAGCTTGTGTATATTATTGAATATAATTTACAATATAATTTTTAGATAAGATACTTTAAGAGTCAAAACAGCAACTGATCCTCTGCATACAATAACCTTTTCAATGAACATCCCAAGATGCACAAAAATTATATCTTGGCCCTTCTCAAGACTTCAAATAAGCATACTGGGAAAATTAAAGAGTGCAATCAGCTCATGTAGATTAATTTAACCAGCCTGCTCTTTAATACCTATCTGAAACAGACTACAATGGATATGGCATGACAGTCAAAAATTTAGACTACAGAGGATAAGTGTAGAGTAATTGACACTGGTGAGGCAATGCCTACCATTTCAGTCTGTTCTGTTCCCTCTCACTTGTGAAATCACTCTGGAGCTCTGTTTCTTCTCTTATAAAGTATTACATGGTAAAATGTACAGATATTTCGTTGTCAAGTTTTGTATACGGTGACCCCTCACCTATCTTGGGAGTTACATTCCAAAGATTCCCGTAATAGGTGAAAATCCGCAAAGTAGCAGCATTATGTGGTCGTCCTATAGAGAGGTTCACATAGCAGCTTTTCATAGTCGTCCTATATGGAGGTTCCCTTATTGCTGCTTGGCAGATTTCCACCTATCTCAGGGTCTCTGGAACATAAACCCGCTATATAGTGAAGCCGCAGTAAGTGAAGCACAACATAGCAAGAGACAACTGTCTACTGGAATAAGATAACGAGGTAACAGGAAGCGTGTGGTGATAACCAGCGGGTCCTGATAATCAGCGGGGGCCCAACACTCAGCGTGTCCGTGGTCCCGCCCGCTGGAGGGGCAGGGCATCAAGAAGCAAGCCTCCCTGCTCCACAGACCTGGCCACCAGAGAGGGTGGCATCGGGTGGCTGACATCCCCTCCAGCACACAGAAAGGCAGGGTGAGCTGCTGGAGGGGACGGGGCGTCCAGCCAACGGGGGAGAAGCCCATTGGCAGTGATTGGACAGTGGGCAGCTTGGGGGAGGAGCGTGAATGGTGGATTGAAACCTTTAGGCAGGAGTCCCGTTGGAGTGGGGGAGGGGTGCAGCCCATGTATAAGCTGTGTTCTAAGCAGCAGAAGAGTAGTTCCATTGGAGGGAGAAAGGGACAGCAGGAAGGGAAAGCCTGCCCGAGCAGAGTAGGGCAGGCCTGTGGAGAGTGGAGAGGCCTGCAGAGGAAGAAGGAAAAAAAAGGAAAAGCCTTTTCCTTTGGAGGTTTGAGCTTTGGAGGTCTGAGGTTTGGAGGTTTGCGGACCAACTAATAAAGGTCCGGGCTGCCTTGGAGGTTTGGTAGTTGAGGCTGCTCTTGGTTCTGGGTATCTAGCCCAGGACAAGGTAGTTGCAGGCCCCCTTTCTGGTATAAATAGTGTAAATAAATTTATCTTTAACCGTGTTTTGATGGATTGTCTCGCCTTTTTTTTTGGGGGGGGGGGGGGTCCAGTAGTGGGCCTGAACTCTGGGCCTGGGCGCTGTCCCTCAGCTCTTCAGCTCAAGGCTAGCGCTCTACCACTTGAGCCCCAGCGCCACTTACGGCTTTTTTTTTTTTTCTGCTCATGTGGTGCTGAGGAATCAAACCCAGGGCCTCATGCATGCAAGGAAAGTGCTCTACCACTGAGCCACCTTCTGTCTCACTCTTTAGAGGTCATAATTTTGTGTGTAAGATCCACCAGGAAAGGCCCCTGTGCAGATGCACCCCCCCTTATTGTCTCTGCATAGTACTGTGTTACCTAGGTAACTAGCACACCTAAAGGAAGTTACCACCTCCTTCTCTGAGGTCACATCCTGGACCACTACATCATACCTCCTTTGGGCTGTGGGAGGGTCACAGGCTCTGAGGTCACGTCCACATCCTGTGTGGCCACACCTTCTCTCCTGAGGCCATACCTTCCCCCCCCACACACACACACACACACTCCACACACATACTCACCTGGCCACACCTCCTCTCCATCCCCTTCCCTAGTTAAACCAGCCCAGGAGCCACTGGCCCCTTCTGCACCATCTGCATGCATCTCCAACCTATGCCTGGGGCCCTGTAGTTCAAAATATGTTTCTCTTTCTGTCTGAAGACCTAATTAAAATATAACCCTGTGGTCTGTTGTTCTAATTGTATTTACTCTTCTACCACGTGATAATTTGCCCTGACTCTCAAGTTCCACCTGTGTCCACTGTCAATTTCTGTTGAGTTTTTTGGCCATAAACCGTACTGACTTTGAGCTATAGCTCCACTTCCGATTTTCGGGTGATTAATTGGAGACTAGTCTCACTGTCTTTCTTACTCAGCTGAACTCTGGGCTTGGGTGCTGTCCCTGCGCTCTTCAGCTCAAGGCAAGCGCTCTACCGCTTGAGCCACAGCCCACTTTCGTTTTTCTAGTGGTTTACTGGAGATAGTCTCACGGACTTTCCTTCCCCGGGCTGACTTTGAACTGTGATCCTCAGATCTCAGCCTCCTGAGTAGCTAGGTTACAGGTATGACTCACCAGCACCTGGCTAGTTTTTTGGTGTGTGTGTGTGTGTGTGTTTCTCTGGTTCCTGCCACAACCCAAAGAATAAATTCAAAATTGGGTAAAGAGCAACTGCTATGTGGCTGCTGTTCCTCTTTCATGGAATTTACTGAATTATCCAGGTTTTTGGTGACTAACTAGAGCTAAGAGTCTCATGACTTCCCTATCTGGTCTCACTTCAAACAAAGATCCTTAGATCTCAGACTCCTGAGTAGCATATTACAAGTGTTCGCTACCAGCACCCAGCTGGGGTATTTTTTTTTTCAATTTTGTGCTAGTTAACATATCTCATCTAATTGTAGGATATTAATGTTTTTAAAAGACATACTTTATCTACCATTGAAATTATACTGCCATCTGGGTGCTGGTGGCTCATGCCCATAATTCTAGCTACTCAGGAGGCTGAGCTTTAAGGATTGCAGTTCAGACTCTTATCTCCTGTTAAACCATCAGAAAACCAGAAGTGTTACTGTGGCTCAAGTAATAGAACTAGCCTTGAGCAAAAAAGCTCAGGAACAGCACCAAGACCCTAAGTTCTAGCCCCAGGACCAGAACGCACGCGCGCGCACGCGTGCGCGCACACACACACACACACACACACACACACAAATTACTTATATTCAAAGTACAGCAAAGCCAGACAGATTGTGGGTTAGGGAAGAGAAGGGGAGGGGGCGGGGGACACAATAATTGATGGGAGAAATTCAATTAAAGACAGGTTACAATAGGCTTGGTGTCCCTAACAACTCAATAAACTGAAATTCCAAGAATCAAGGTTCAAAATCAGTCCAGGCAGAAAAGTTCACAAGGTTCCATCTCCAAAACAATCAGCAAAAAGCCAATGGGCTCAGGAGGCTGAGATCTGAGAATCGCAGTTTGAAGCCAGCCCTGGCAGGAAATTCCATGAGACTATTCAAAAAAGCCAAAAGTGGCGCTGTGGCTCAAATGGCAGAGCACTAGCCTTGAACACAGAGAGGTTCAGGGACAGAGTCCAGGCTCTGAGTTCAAGCCCCAGGACTGGCCAAACACAAAAACAAAACTGCCAGTATGGCTCAAGTGATAGAGTGACAGTTAAGCCAAGTGCAAGGCTTCCAGTTCAAACCCTAGCACTAACAACAAAATATTGACAGTCATCAGATACAAAAAGGCAAATAAGCACATGTATGATGCTAGATATTATTTAATGAAAGGAAAGCAAATTGAAACAATGAGCTTGCATTATATATCCCAAAATGACAGAATAATTTTTGCAATGCTGAGTATAAAACCCAGCCCTTTGCCTGGCATCAGTGGTTCACACCTGTAATACTAGCCAGTCAGTAGGCTAAGATCTGAGAATTGCAGTTCAACATCATCCCTGGCAGGAAAGTGTATGAGATTCTTTTTTTTTGGGGGGTCCGGTCGTGGGGCCTGAACTCTGGGTCTGGGTGCTGTCCCTCAGCTCTTCAGCTCAAGGCTAGCACTCTAACCACTGGAGCCACAGCACCACTTCCGGCTTTTTTCTTTTTGCTTATGTGGTGCTGAGGAATCGAACCCAGGGCCTCAGGCATGCAAGGCAAGCGCTCTACCACTGAGCTACCTTCCCAGCCCAAGTCTATGAGATTCTTATTTCCAATTAACCATCAAAAACCGGGAAGTGAGTCTGTGGCCAAAAAAAAAAAAAAATCCCAGGAACAATGCCCAAGCCCTGAGTTCATGCTCCAGAACTGGCAAAAATAAATAAAAAATAGGGGCTGGGAAGGTGGCTCAGTGGTAGAGTGCTTACCTAGCATACATGAGGCCCTGGGTTCGATTCCTCAGCACCACATAAACAGAAAAAGCCGGAAGTGGCGCTGTGGCCCAGAGTTCAGGCCCCACGACTGACACTAAATAAATAAATAATAAAGATATCCCTCAAGTATGCTCTATCACTGAGCTAGACCACAATTCCAAACTCCTTAAAATGGGTATATACAATAATACATTAGAATGTACACACAATGTGTAATATATATCATATACAGATGCATTACATATCAATTATTTGCCGGTATTAGTGGCTCATGCCTGTTATCCTACAGACAGAAGGCCTAAAATAGGCAGATCTCAGCCCAGTAGCACACCCAACTAGATAGTATCTCAAAAATAACAAGCATAAAAAACAGCTGGAAGTTGTAGCTGAGTGGTAAAGCCCTTAGCAGGCAAGCACAAGGTCTTGTGTCCAAATCCCAGTACAGCAAAAAAAACTCACAATTTTTAATCAACATTAATTACTTTATTACCACCAAAAATGAATCTTTTCATTTTGAGAGAAAACAAAGAGCTTTATGTACATACATGGTAGGGTGACTGTCTGAGATCCTTATGTAGCCATAGTCTAACTTCAGACAACTTTGCAACCTCCCTACCAGCCCAGAAGCACCAAGGTACCCTCATCAAAAGGGTAAAGTCTGAGAGACAAAACACATGAGACTCTTTATTCAACAGCAGCTCCCTCTTGAGGGCATGTATTTCCTCCTGTTCTACTTCACCCCTTTCCCACACAGCCTTTGTAGGCTACAGCCTGGTGCAAGAAAAGAGCATCTTTCTAGATATACTTATATACCACCTTTGAGGGCACAGTTTGGAGGTGGAGTCGCACAGGACACTTGTAAAAGTGAGACAGCAGAGTCTCGCTGTAGCCTATGAGGAAGTAGAACTTGTGTGCTGGCAGCTGCCTGAGGACCAGAGCACAGATCTCCACTTGATTGACACGGCGCTTCAGGACTATCTGGTCGGCCAGGCACCCTGGGAAGGTACCTAGCATGAACTTGCGAAGGAAAACATCCTCCACTGTTCGCTCTGCAGCGTGGTCCTCCCCATCTAGATTACCTGAAGAGATGGGAAGGCACAGTCAAATCTTGTTGTCCAGGGAGCTGCCAAGACATCCAAGAGGACTGGGGCCCTCAAGGTCCCAAGCACCTTCTCTTTTCTTTTACTAATAGAACACTTTAAAGTTTGAAGTACAGTGTCTCATTAATTCCTAAGCACATCCTGCAGGGAACAAAATGGAAATGACACAACATCTGTCCCTTTTCAGTCTTTCTTGTTGTCTTATAAAAACACAAGTCATCCCCTGAGTCAAATAAGATAACTACCTTTGAAATTAGGGGCATTAGTTTTTCATGAACCAGGGCCATAGCTTCTACCAATATTCTCAGTGTGTTGTTGGAATCCTGATATCTAAAGCCCCTGCAGGATGTGTCAAGAGTCTCCACATCCAGGAATTCAGAACAAGAACATGAAGTGACAGGCTGAGAACCAGAAGCTGCATAGATGTACATGTGCATTCTTTAGTGAAGCTGGGGGTCAAACCATGTTTTAAACAAGTTCCCTCAAGTCAGGCCAGGCATCAGTGGCTCATGCCTGTAATCTACTCAGGAGGCTGAGATCTGAGGATACTGCTTCATAGCCAGCTGGGGGAGGAATCTATGAAACTCTGCTCCAGTGAACCACCAAAAACAAAACAAAACAAAACAAAAAACCTTGCAAGCAAGCTAGGTAGTTTCCTAGCTTTCAGCAAAAAAGGTCGGGAGCAGCACCCAGCCCCAGGACAAACACACATACACATAGATGTGCACACACACCTGAAAAATATGGACTCAAAGAATGAGAACTGACATGCACGCTGGTAGAAAAGATTGCCTTGGTGGAATTGTGCTGTATTCACCGTGCCTTGACTTACTTAGGGCACACTTTTCCACGTTGTAATTGCCTCTGAGCCATTTTATATTCTGGTAGGTTACAAATGACCAACAGCAATGCAAAGTTCTGTCTGCAGAGGGTCAGTAATTTATTTTCAGTGGACTTTCCGATGAGTCCCTGATACCCACGGAAAAAGCAGGCTTTGCATTCACGTGAAATTTCATTCCAACATCCTGACGGGCCGTGCTTGCTTCCTACTTCTTGGAGCAAGCTTAACAGATTACTAGTTCTACCCTGAAGATCATGACTTGTGCTCACTCGGGCTGCGTGGCAATCAGCCCGAGGGTCGGTCCTGCGGCGCCAAGAGCCCTCACCTGTGTGCAGGGAGAGCCAGCCCTTGCGGTGGGCGATGTGGTGCGGGGCGTGCGCCTCCTCGTAGCTCACCGGCTTGTCCCCTTTGCCCACGCGGACTCGCGCAGCGCGGTTCTGAGAGCAAAGGGACGGTCACTGGGCAGAGGTCACCCGCGACCCGCACGGCTGCCGCCGCCATCCTCCCCCCCCCAGGCCCCGCCCCCGCCGCCATCCTCCCTCCAGGCCCCGCCCCCGCCGCCATCCTCCCTCCAGGCCCCGCCCCGCTGCCATCCTCCTCCCAGGCCCCGCCCCTGCCGCGCATTCTCCCCCCCCTCCCCCAGGCCCCGCCCCCGCTTCACCTTGGCGCAGACTACGGAGGTGTGGAAGGCGCTCCAGTTGCAAGGCAGCTCCCAGTTCCAGAGCAGCACCTGTAGGAGAGGGGCGTGAGAAGGAAACCCAGAAGCCAGGCCGACTCCGCATGCCGTAAGGCCCACTCACCCGCCTCCCCACACGCTGCAGGCATACGGAGGCCGACATCTTGGCCCAGCGGGGCGCGGGAGGAACTACGGCACTGCAAGAGTGGGACTCGGACGAGACCAAGATGGACCGTGCGGGGGGTGGGGCGGGAGGAACCACTGCACAGCAAGGGGGGTAGACTCGGAAGAGACCAAGTCGGCCCGCGCGCGGGGGCGGGACCCAACGGGGCGCGGGAGGAACCACTGACAGCAGGCGGGAAAGACTCGGAAGAGACCAAGTCGGCCCGCGCGCGGGGGCCGGACCCAGCGGGGCGGGGGAGGAACCACTGCACAGCAATAGTGGGACTCCGACGAGACCTAGTCGGACTGCGCGGTGGGGGTCGGAAGGAACCGCTGCACAGCAAGCGGGAGAGGGGGAAAGGACTCGGACGAGACCTAGTCGGCCCGCGCGCGCGCGGAGGAGCGGCTCGAGTTCCTGCCGCGGTTTCTTGCGGCGATTTCAGACAGGGAGGCAGACGTGTTTCCCACTCCCACAGCTCCTGTGAGGGCTGTGGTGGAGTCCTTAAAAGCAGGGGAAAACGCGTCGACCGGACCCCGGCCTGATGGGGGCCTTGCGACCGGCGGGAGGAAGCTGGTGTTTTGCTTGTCTTAGCATTTTGTGTTGTTTCGCTGTCCCCCTGGTGTCACAGGAAACTTCTCCACGAGGTGGGAGACAACGTGGAGAAATTCAGGGGCAGAGTCTGGCACAGAAACGTGTGGGGATATTTCAGAGCCCGGAGTATTCAAGCGGGAGCGTACAGTGTGATTGGTATCCCGCAGTGATCATCGCCGTATGGAACAGTGGGTCCCTGGGTGCCCTATTTGCGCGATAAGCGCTGAGCGCTGGATCAGGTGGGTTTGGGGTTGTTTTTTTTCGGTCGGTCGTTGCGCCTGAACTCTGGGCCTGGCCGCTGTCCCTCAGCTCTTCAGCTCAAGGCTAGCACTCTACCACTTGAACCACAGCGCTTTTTCTGCTTATGTAGTGCTGAGGAATCGAACCCAGGGCCTCATGCATGCGAGGCAAGTGCTCTACCACTGAGCCACCTTCCCAGCCCCCTGGAGTCAGATTCTTATATAACAGTTCTCCCAAAGTTGAGTCTTAGTGCCAGTATCCATACAATGGACTTTAGAAATAGTTAACTGCTTGTTAGATCTGTTAAGATCAAGAGTATTTAATAATCAACAATGGCTGCTGTTGGTTGGGTCAATATGTAAATCGTGTGAAATTGGCAGTATTTGGCTGAGGCCACTACTCACCTGACCATTCTTGCACCCTGTTCTTGGCTTTGGGAGGGGAACTAGACAATCGTCTATGGAGAAGGAAATGGAAGCAAAGGTGAAAGGTGAGTTGTCTGCAAGGATGTTGGGCAAAGGCAGAGAGCAAAACCACAGCCTCTTGGCTTTAGTTCATTTCCATGACCAAAATTCCTTTTGCCTCTTGAATCTGGAACATCAAAAAATCCTTAATAATGATTAGCTGAATGGCATAGTGGTAAAAGGTTGCCTAGCAAGTGACAGTAATTTTTAAAGGCCGTAAACCAGATGTTTATAGGCTCACATTTGTAATCCTAGCTACTCAAGAGGTTTGAGGTTCAAAGCCAGCCTGGGCAGGAAAGGCAGTAAGACTCATCTCTAACCACCAGAAAATTGGAAGTGGTGCTGTGGCTCAAAGTGGTAGAGAGCTAGCCTTGAGCAGAAGAACTTAGGGACAGAACCCAGGCCCCAAGTTCAAGCCCCACAACGGGCAAAAAAGGGGGGGAGAGGAGGGGTCTTTCGTCTTCAACTCGCTAAGGATATTTTATTCTTAATTATTCAAATTGACCTACAACTCATCCAAATATTGGTTAAGCAGACAAGAATGCAATATGCTCTGAAATCATAATACCTTGCCATTCTTTTTTCCCTTGACTTCTAGAATTTGAAATCATTCTCCCTTGGCTTCCTTGCTCAGCTAGTGTTGTACCACTTGTGCTATGCCTCTAGCTCAGCTTTTTACTGGATAATTGGAAATGGAGTCTCTCCAACTATTCTTCCCAGGCTGGCTTTGAACTATGCTCTTTTGAATCTCAGCCTCCTGAGTAGTTTATAGATGTGAGCCACAAGTACCTGGCATAGAACATTTTTAGGAGTCTTTCACTCCTATTTCTGGTATGGGAAGCAAGAAATTTTTCCCGTCTTGATTTTGTTACACTAAAATGAATCCTTGTTAAACATTTTTTAATCCTCTAAAAGTTTTTTCTTTTTCTTTTTTTTTTTTTTGTCCGTCGTGGGGCCTGAATTCTGGGCCTGGGCTCTATCCCTCAGCTCTTCAGCTCAAAGCTAGTGCTCTACCACTTAAGCCACAGCACCACTTCCGGCTTTTTTCTTTTTGTTTATGTGGTGCTGAGGAATCAAACCCAGGGCCTCATGCATGCAAGGCAGGCGCTCTACCACTGAGCCACCTTCCCAGCCCAAGTTTTTTCTTCTTTTTTTTTTTTTCACAAATAAGCCTTTTATTTGTCACTATTAAAACTCTGGATTTTAAACAGATTCTTGGACTGGTGGTTCGTATCCATCAGCTCGCTCGACTTTAGCACCAGTCTCGTCACCAGTAGCTTTTCCAGAACTACCACCTTCACCATGAAGTTCCATGAGTTTTCCCAATTCAAACTTGGGCTTCTTCAGCATTTTTACTTTTCTAACGAAGACATCATGAAGTGGATAAATAGACTGACAAGCCTTTTCTATGTCTTTCCCAATGCTGTCTGGAATCAATTTATTAACTACTTCTTTCAAGTCATTTGTCTGTACTTCTCGGGTCATGATTTCCATCATCTTCTTCCGGATTTGGCGGACCTGCTGATGCTGAGCATAGGAGGTCTTGCGGATCTGATTGTTGCGTTTTTTAGTGAAACCAACACAGAACAGACGAAGCAAATAACCATCTGTAGTCTTGACATCAACATGAGCTTCAATCATGGTCTGCCACTTTTTGACCATAGAGCACATTTTGTCTTGGGTGAGATCCATGCCATGGAAGTTGGTCAGGCAGTTTTTGCCCTGTACGTCCTCAGTAATTAGCTTGAATTTTCTAAATGCGACTTCATCATTCTGCAGATCAGCAAGGCTCACTTCAAACACCCGACCCTTGAGGCCATCAGATGCGATTTTGGTTCCTTGAGTCCTCGTGACTAGTGTTTTCCCAATATTCCTTATATTGAACATGGCTGGTGCTTTCACATAATACCAATCCTTCTTCGAAAATGGATCAACCACTTTCTTCTTGGCTCCCTTTTTGCCGCCTTTTGTAAGGCGCTTGTTCTTGCCTACCGCCATGGTGCCGGTCTGAGAGCCCAAGTTTTTTCTTCTTAAGATTTCATAAAGTATGGTAATTTTGTAGTTCGATAAATTGTATTAATAAATAAAATGTGCTCAAACATAGTGAGCAACAATGGATTTGGCATCTGCACTACCCAGATCCAAATTTTGTGGACGCACTTCTCGGCTGTAGTGTACATGAAACAATTAACCTGGGCCCAGGTTCCCCCATCTGTAAAATGGAGACAAAGGGGGAAAAAATGAAACAGGTTGCAAGCACAATGTAGCTTAGCATGTGTACCATTCCCCCACCCACAAAGAGAAAAACAAAAAAAAAAGTGGAAATTATACTGCAAAATGCCCCAGCAGAAAGAGCACTTAAAAATGTTTTCTAGGAACAATGGAGGGGGTAACAATGTTCAATAGGAAGTGTACTCATTACCTCACTCATGTAACTGTAACCCTCTGTATAGTATCTTTACAATAAAAAATAATAAAATTAAAAAAAAATGTTTTCTAGGACTGGGAAGGTAGCTCAGTGGTAGAGCGCTTGCCTTGCATGCATGAGACCCTGGGTTTGATTCCTCAGCACCACATAAGCAGAAAAAGCCGGAAGTGGCGCTGTGGCCCAAGTCGTAGCGTGTTAGCCTTGACCTAAAGAGCTGAGGGACAGCGCCCAGGCCCAGAGTTCAGGCCCCACACCGGCAAAAAAAAAAAAAATTCTAGTGTTTTGGGTTGTCTTCTCTTTTTGGAGGGGGAGGGAGGGGAATTGGGTTAGGTTATAGGATTTTTTTTTCCTGGTCCTAAGGTTTGAACACAGGGCTCTACCACTTGAGCCACAGCTACACTTTGAGCTTTTCTGAGTAGTTTATTGGCGGTAAGAGTCTCACAGGGACTTTTCTGCCTGGTTTCACTTCAAACCAGGATCCTAAGATCTCAGCTTCCTGAGTAGCTAGGCTTATAGATATGAGCCATCAGTGGCTTGGTATTGGATTTTTGTAGCTACACATCTTCTTAGATAGATAAATCCTGATCTGAGAAAAAGGGGAAGGGGAAGAGCAGATTCTGGGGCTGAATCCTGAATATAAAAAGGCAAAGGTGACAAAGGCGGAGACACCTACTAAGCTGAGGTGAAGGTTGCAGCAGAAGAAAGTGCCGGACAAAGGCATGAATATTGTGAGAAACTTAAGTTTCCCTCCATGCAATAGACAGTGGCATAAATCTGTGCTTTCTCTCTTCAAGCCACTTGTCCCTTTAGCCTGAGGTGCCTCCCAGGAGTCCCAAACCAATCTAGGTCTTTCCAAGAATGACAAGGACTATTTCAGTGGCAACATTCCTGTCTTTCAGGTAACCTATTACTTACCCTTTGTTTATACCTTTTTGTTATCAAAAAGTTTCAGCCAGTTGCTTGATTTGTGAGAGTTATATTGGTATATTTGCATGATTAAAATAATTTAAAATGGTAGTTTTTGTTGTTTTTTTCTTTTGTTTTTTTGTCTGTCGTGGGGTTTGAACCCTGGGCCTACGCGCTGTCCCTGAGCTCTTCAGCTCAAGGCTAGCATTCTACCACTTGAGCCACAGCTCCACTTCTGGTTTTCTGGTGGTTGGAGATAAGTCTTGGAGTCTCAGGTACTTTCTGCCAGGGCTGGCTTTGAACTGGCTTTGAACTAGGATTACAGGCATGAGCCTCCAGCACCTGGCTAATATGGTAGTTTTGTTGTTGTTGTTGTTGTTTTGTCAGTCTTGGGGCCTGAACTCTGGGCCTGTGTGCTGTCCCTCAACTCT